GTGATCAGAACCGCATGGGGGATCGAATGGAAGCCATTTGGTCAACCTCGGCGAAAGCGTCCACTACATAGTGTCGTGCTGGATACGGGTGTAAGTGAAAAGGTAGAACAGGATGTCAAGGCGTTCTTGCAACGACGTCAATGGTATGCGGACCGGGGCATTCCTTATCGAAGGGGATATCTCTTGCATGGCCCTCCTGGTTCAGGGAAGACTTCTTACATTCAAGCTTTGGCAGGATCGTTATCATATGACATATGTCTACTCAATTTGTCGGAACGAGGACTCGGCGACGATAAACTCAATCACCTTTTATCAAATGCCCCAGAGCGTAGCTTTATACTCATCGAAGACGTGGATGCCGCATTTAACAAACGCGTACAAACAAGCGAGGATGGGTGAGCCGATGAGTCTGATACCTCGGAATGCACGGCTAACACCACATGCTGTAGGTATCAGTCCTCTGTCACATTCTCTGGTTTTTTAAACGCTTTGGATGGTGTTGCCTCGGGAGAAGAGCGGATTATCTTCATGACGACAAATCACCTTGGACAATTGGATCCTGCACTCATCAGACCAGGGCGTGTTGATCTAAGCATGCTTGTTGATCATGCGTCACCCACCCAGGCACGCACGCTCTTTACACGTTTCTACGGCGGTAGTGAGTCTGTCCAACCGGAGCTTGTAGAACGCATGGGACAGCAGGTAGAAGAATTAACTACCAAAGAGTTGTCTGATGGGAAGGAAATTAGCATGGCTGCCCTCCAAGGCTTGTTCATCAGGAATAATGCCCAGGATGCGGTCAAGACCCTCCCCGAGCTATTCGTAGAGAGACGGACATGAGTAGAAGTAGGTACTTGAATGGTATCCTTTCACGAAGATCTGGTGTTCGTGAAACACTGCGAGAGATTCCACTAAAAGATTGGCTTGCGCTTGCGGCCAGTAAATTTTGAATCTCTCGGTACCCCCTCTTTTCCTCGTTGGCGATACAACTAATGATATCAATGAGGAAATAGGTATAATCAATTTCCATCCGACTTACCTCTTTTTTCTTCAGGATCCAATCTTTGTCTTTCATGTTCTTTCTCTTCCCACTTACATCCCTCTTCCTTTCCTTCTCCCTTCTTCTCTCGAATCTTACTTGCTCATCATCTTCACCCTCTACGCCCTTGGGTATTTGCTGCTGCGGGCCTCCTCCGCCAACAAACAAGCATAGGAACACCTTCCTTGCTTTCTTGGAATTTGGGTAATCTACAACGATACCTCCTCCAAAGCCAGCCTTCTGCGCTATCGAGGTAATTAGTTGTATCTGGTCGTCGGAAGTCGGGTAAAATTGAAAGACTGCTCGAGAGGGATTTCGAAGAGCAGAGTGTAGAGTCGTGAAGAAGCGATTGAGACGGTGTGGTGGGGAAGACGTTGGGTGCGACGTTTCAGCATTCAAAAGCCATTGCAAGACAGAGATACTAGTAGACTATAAGATAAGATAGAATCAAGCTAAGGAAGTCCAGTCACGAACCTTATTGCTCCATCGAAGCTTCCTGGTCGGAAGCCAAATCCCTGACCGATGTCTTGTAAGAAAAGGTCGCCATCGATATTCCTCTCCAGTGCAACCTCTGATTATAATCAGCCCACGTCTATACGCTAAAGTTCGGTACTCACCAAGCATACTTGGCGCAATATCTACGCCTGCCCAGATGTATCCTTCCTCCTCCAAAATCTCACCTGAAAGCCCCGATCCGCATCCTATGTCTAACAGAAAAGCAGGCTCATCCGAAGGAAGATTAAGCAATTCAAGAGCACGGTATGTCATATCCGCCTGGATCTGTTGATTACGGGTGCTTGTATGACATTGAGAACGGTAAGGGGATGCACATGTGAACAAGCATACTTTTGAGTGTATTTTTTGGCTTCAGCATCGCCATAATACTATAGATGTCCAAAAATCAGTCTCACATCGTCTGTGGGTCGACGAAAATAAAATATACAATCTCTGGCGGTGCTTGGTGCTCTGGCCGTGACATATTTTTCGAGGGTCCTGATGATGATCTGAGCAAGTTTGTTAGAGTTGACAGGCACGTGGATTCAGTCTTCAATTCAGCCCAATTTGGCAGTCTAGTCATTCGTCTTACTTTCGTCGACGATGGCGACGACGAGCAAACAATACAAGGCCATCGGAGAGGACCTTTGGAAAAGTCGCACAGATAAAATCGTGAGGTTTGGACTTTGTGTCGCGTCTTTGGGTCAATCAGGCCCAACTGATTCAAAAACAGAATTCAGAGCTGTTTGCTCTTACATACGGCGCCCTCGTCGTCCAGTTGATCCAGGACTACGAAGATTATGCTGAAGTGAACAAGCAACTCGAGAAAATGGGATATAATATTGGGACTCGGTTAATCGAGGACTTTCTTGCAAGGAGCTCTTTAGGTCGCTGCTCTGACTTCCGAGAAGTAGGCGAGGTGGTGGCGAAGGTGTGCGTTTATCACTAATTCCCCTGAGCTGACGTTCTTAGAGGCGCCTCATTTGAAGGTCGGGTTTAAATCCTTTCTTAATATCACACCAACAGTCACGCACTCCAGTGCTCCACCACCTTCCTCCCGTTCGACCAGTGCAGCTCAACAGTCAGGAGTTCCTGGCTCGTCCTTCATTCTAACCCTGGATGAGAATCCTTTGGCTGAGTTTGTTGAACTCCCTGACGAAGCTTTGGAAGGAGGGCTATGGTTTAGTAACGTGCTGTGTGGTGTTCTCAGAGGAACACTTGAGATGGTAAGTCCACAAGCTAAAATAATCGGCGCAACTATGCATCACGCCCATTTCAAAGGTCCAGATGCAGGTGCAGGTGGATTTTTTGTCTGATGCACTTCGCGGTGACGAGAGCACGGAGATTCGGGTGACATTGCTGAAGTACCTGGAAGAAGAAGTGCCAGTCGGAGACGACTAGAGAAGCCACCTCGGATGTACTTAGGAATAGTGTATTATCTAGAAGACGAATACAGGACAAGCGCGGCGTCCGGTGAACTTCCGAGGATATAGGAACATACATAATGAACACCCTCAGCCACGACGATCGACCCTGTTGAGTTTCTTCGCAGTCCGCGCGTTGTTTTGGGTATTCTGGCCGCGGACGGGCAGACCCATAGCATGCCTCTTGCCAACGTAACTGCCTATCATGCGTTGGTGCGCAATATTATCCTTGACCACCCTCCTTGCTTCGCTCTCAATCTTAATGTTTCTCAATGGATCTGTCCATGCCCTTTGTGAAAGCTTCTTCGTCTCCTCCTTCAGGACCGCGAGTGGAGTGGAGGCCGGTGGAGGTTTATAGGATGGTGTGGCTAATGGAAAGCGAGGAATAGGTATTGAAGTGGAAGGAGAAGAAAGAAACGCGGCAAGCTCTGTAATTTGATGGGGTGTGAGACTTCGAACTTTGCACTTGTCGTGGATTTGAAGACGTGCACAAAGTCGATGGGCAGTTTTATGGCCGATGCCATAGAATGCAGTCAAGGCGAACTAGCTTAACGGTGAGCAAAGCTTTTAGAAACAACTTGCTATAGCGCACCCTTGCATACTGGTAGTCTGGGAGCTGCACCCCCAAGACGTGGACCATGGCTCACTCGGACAACAATTAGAATTTAGAAGGGAACTTCAAGCTTCAAGCTTGAAAAGTAATTTCATACTCCGCGACTCAACTTCGCGCTTCACACCACAGCTTGATTCAACTCAAACCTTTATGGCTACTAACAACGCTGAAGGACGTCGCGAGGATGCTTTCATCAAGCAGCGCGCTCAGAATCGTGAAGAGTATGAACGACAAAAACAGACTCTCATCAACGAAACGGAGAAAGCTCGTCCCTCAGCCAACAAATTTGTCGGTCAGAATGACTCGATGGAGGAGACTCTCAAGAACCAGACTATTGGTCTAGTGAGGCTGGAGGACTTTCAGCAGAGACGGAAAGAGCTGGAGGAGGCAAAGGCACGCGAGGCTGCTCGGACCAACGAACTCAAGTATGTTATTTTCAGTATCCAATGCGATTCTCTTTTGTGCCGTAACAACTGTGTGGAAAGATGGCTTATATTCCATGGAGGATTTGTTTAGGGACGAAACAAAGAAGGTAAAGAAACGCAAGAAGACAAAAGCTACCTTATCATTTGCCATGGATGACGAAGGTAGCGTCGAAGGAGACACTTCATCACGTCAAACTCCTGAAGTCGAGAACGGTGAACAAGCATCCAAGCGTGCCAAGTTCCGCAAGAATCCTAATGTTGATACATCATTCCTCCCGGACCGCGAACGAGAGGAAGCGGAGAGGAAAGAGCGTGAAAGGTTGCGCCAAGAATGGATTCACAGACAAGAGGAACTTAAGCAGGAAGAAATTGAGATAACCTATTCTTATTGGGATGGGAGTGGACACAGGAAGTCGGTTGTGGTATGATCTCGTAATGATCTAACATTCAATCGCTCATTCGCAGGATGCTTTAGTGTAAGAAGGGTGATACCATTAGCGCCTTCTTGGAGAAGTGCCGGCAGCAATTCCCGGAATTGCGAGGCGTCAGCGTTGACAACCTGATGTACATCAAGGAGGACCTCATAATACCTCACGTGAGTCATCATTTGAGTTTCTCTGTTGGTCGTTTATTTCAATGTATTTCACAGCATCATACGTTCTATGACTTCATCATTAACAAAGCTCGTGGAAAGAGTGGGCCATTGTTTAATTTTGACGTTCATGACGATATTCGCCTGCTTGCTGATGCGACCAAGGAGAAAGACGAGTCACACGCTGGTAAAGTGGTGGAGAGGAGCTGGTACCAACGGTTTAAGCACATCTTTCCGGCCTCTCGATGGGAGGTGAGCAAGGCGTCCTTCCTGTGTCCATATTATATTAATCAAGGCATAGATATACGACCCAGAGAAAGATTACGGAAAGTATACTATCGCTTAATATTGTCTTGTTCATACTGTGTACCACATCGCGTTCTGAAGACATCATAACCTTGACCAAAAGAAATGCCAGGACCGTGGATTGAACACGGGACCTCCAGAAGCCATCGCCTTGTTATTACTTCAGTCTGTTGCTCTCCCAGCTGAGCTACCCCGGCGATTCACTTTCAAGAGAATATCTATTCTGATACATTGCCCAATTCCAGGACGAAAAGTAACCAGCGTGATAATTTAGAATTATCTGACAAGCATAACATTGAGGTGTATATTGCAGAGTCTGCCATGCAACGTTAGGTGACCATATATTGACTGATAAGTATCTCGGATGATATGGATTATAGTGAATAGACTAGGCGATCCTAAATCAGATGCTATCATAGTACATGCCTTGTCTCTAAGTGAGATGCGAGGTAGAATCCCGTGCTTGGAAGGTCAGGGTAGATGATCGATATAATGCGACGTAATATCGAAGAATGTCCAGAGGAGCCCGTGCGTCGTGATGCTCCGCACTGCACTGACGCCGAGACCACGATATATGCGTGCTATGCCAGCAAGGACCGGCTTGGGATCTTTAGGATCCGGACCTAATGAATTTTGAGTCGTAGTAACATGACTGCAGTGGTCTGCCGTACCGCGCACGAGGCGACGGAGGGTTTCCCATACTCCTTTCGGAGGAGTGCCAGCTAAAGCACGTTGCTGGACTTTGGTCTTTACTCTGATAAAGGAATGAATTGAGTTTTGTGTTTTGTGGCAAAGGGAAAGATGTGGACTGACACATCAAGGGGATATATCAATGCCCATGAAGTCACGCCGGCCAGCGAACCACAGACGAAGGGAATCAAGGATGTTGGTATCGGCAACCATGCTGGTGTTGGTCCTTGCTCTCCCGAGCGCTGGCGGCCCAATAGATGTCGCATAGCATCATATTCGAAAAAGTACAAAGCAGTACCAGCTGTATCTCGCACTATGATGGAGCCGGTCAAACAGAGTAACAAACAACGAAATACATTACTCGCCAAAGTGGAGACGGAACCCTATCCAGAGCCCGGATAGCCCATGAGTTCGAAAAATTTCCCGGACAGCGTCGATAGTATTTGGGGGTTTGACCATTTGTACGCCTTTAGTTGCGGCTATGCTGTATTCCAATTGCCTTCGAACCTGTCAACAGACTTGGAAGAACACCTTCCCAGACAAGTTGGCCAAGTAAAAATACCTTGACAAGTTCGAAGGCTTGTTTCACATGTCAGATATTTGAAGTACACAGTTAAAAGAGCACGCACGTGCACTGGTAAATGAAATCAATGATCCAGACAATGCACCACTGAGACCACCCGCGAGAGCAGCATCAGAAGCTCTATCACCTGTAAAATAATTGTTTTTACGACAGTATTCTTTTGTACTACTGTATATGGTGAATGAAGCAGCACCTAGACAGTTGTATAGTCGTTAGGCTTGTGAAGAAAAGACAGATGCTGTGCGATAACTCACGGACAAACGAGATCGTGACAAGCGGTATCCAGAGACCTCTATAGAAGCCAGTTACTCCTTCTTCCCGATAGACGATACTAGCAAGCTTGAGGACTGGCATTCTTGTCTTGGTAGTCTGTAGTCTCGACTTCAGAGAATCCAACTAGAAAACAGCCAGATTAGTAAGTTACTTCAATGTAGAAAGAGCAAACACACTGGATATCCAACAAAGGTCGAAATGTAGCTAGCTGAGAGAGCGCAGACCACTGGCTTATTTTCTAGCAGAGGAGTTATTGCAAAATCGATGTATGTTTTTCACCATACATACGCTTCAAAACGTCGTTGAAACCATCCCTGTTGAACCAGGGATTTATTGGCGGGCTGGAGACCTTTAACGACCATGACCTTGCGAGAAGTCCAGATTACGAGCGTACCTTGTTCCATTCATAGCTCTTCTTGCTGGACCAGACGAGAAGTCCAGTTTCGTGCCTCTGCCAGTCTGTGTCTCGAAAGGCCGGGCGTGATCTCAGTTGGAGCCAGAAAGAAGAGCTGGAGAGGAAATAGGGATCTTCTAAGGCAATTCGATATAGTAGGCTTGAAGAGTCTCTGTCACGCGTCATGAAAATTGCCCATATTTGGCCAACAGATTTATGTGTCTATATTTAGGTTTCCGCGTCCGAGTCTATATATCATAACCAACGGAACTGCCACCAACTGTATTTCGACTGAGTGTACTACTACTACATATTATCAGAACCCACCCAGCCTCTTCTTCACAAGCTTCTTATTCAGAGCATTTCGACCGCCATACGGTCCAGGTAACACTTGGGTACTCGTCATCAACTCTTGGGAGGGTTGAGAGGGTTCAGGATAATTCTCATGCTGAATATCTGTGGTTTGTAAAGTGAAGCCTTGAGGCTGGGTGCCGGACCTTCCCCAAAGATCCCGAGCAACATGGATGGGAGGTGGACGGGACTCGAAACCTGCAATAATCAGTGAAGGGCCTTGTGATGTTGTAATCGTTGTTTGCGTAGCAATTGGTGCGATATAGTGTGTCTGTTTTTGGGAGGGAGTGATAGGATTGTCGCCTTTTGTGTTGTATGGATCATTATATGCATAGGACTCAACGTCCGTTCCAACATCCCACTCCCTCAATAACAATCGTACGCCCAACGGACTGCAAAAGTCTGCATCCTGAGCAGGTTCTGCGACAGCGTCCTTGTCCCTAGAAGCATCAGGGTAATGGTTGACACCAAGTTTGACATATGGACGCATGTAGCCGAACTGAATCTCGGGAAGTTCGTCGTCAAGTGTCAGAGCTTTTGCGGCAAGAGACATATTCTCTACATCGTCAACCTGGATTGAAGCAGCAGGCGTAGAAACAGGCTGAGCTGAAAACACCGTGCTAGAAAGGGCCAAATCAAGAATGAGCTGTTCTCGTGACGCTTCCTCTTGTTGCACGAATGACCTGGGGGCATCGTTCGAGTAAGACAAACTGAAGGCTTCCAGAGCACCATACATTTCCTGCCAGTGATCCACGCGACCAAGCCCCATACGGCGGAGAAATGGCTTGAAATCGCAAGACCATGCTGCACCACTCGTAATTTCTTGGACAGGTAGTTTGTTGCGTACAAGCGTTTTGTACCCATAATTCGAGTTGATGATCCCGCCAGCCAAAAAGTCCGCTCGCGAAGCCTCTTCTCGCTCGTCGTCAGCGCCAAGACAGACATCATACCTGATAGATACAACAGATCAGCGTCTCGGATGACAAATGTTTGAACACGCCTCACAAGGTCAACATTGCCCTTCCAGAACTATCTGTGCTTTGCCAAAACTGAGACAGCTTATCTGTCATTATGGCAAGTTCGTCCTCAGAGGCAGCTTGTTCTGTAACACCCCCCGTAATGAACATTTCTGCAACCACGATAAATATCAGGACAAACTCGACCGAACGGGATCAAAAACGCTCACTCTGATACGCATTCCGTAAGTTTAGCTCTGAGAAATGTCTCGAGCTCAGTGGCCCGTACTGAGGCTGAAGCTCTTTTGCTCTTTGAGCTAGTTTCTGCACATCAGCAGACCATTCGTGGCTAGTGCCACCAGTCTGTCTTGGAAGTACGTCTATGCCATTGCGATATACAGCAAAGTCCTGGCAGCGGAGGCTGCCTTGTCCAGAGAGCCGCAAGAGGGAAAAGGTGGACCTGTTGGGCTGGACAAAAAATGCACTTTCTGACTCAGACGCACCCACATCTCCATTGTGAGGTAAAGATGTTGGAACGGAATGGCAGTGGATCAAACTGTCCCTTCCTCGAGACACGTCATAAATGGTGATAAGTCCATTTTTAAGCGAACTTAGGAAAGACAGAGGCCCTGCAGTGGAAAGTGAGTGAATAGAAAGGACTAATATGTCGCTAGTTCCGTACCGCTATCCAACTGTACAGCTCTGATATTGAGCGATCTATCATGCGCTCGATTGTGTTTAATGCTCAGAAGCATTTTCTTTGGATACCGATTATCCAACCATAGGAGTTCCGAGGTTGTTGAAACGGTAAGGAGATGCTCCCGCTCCAACCAGTCAAAAGATGTTACAACAGAGCCCAATTGATCAGTTTGAAATAGGTCAACAGTAGACTGGCTCGACTATCTCTGAGTTAGCAAAGAAAACAGTATATCCTGTTGGAGTTCGTACCCTGAAATCGAGATGCTGAATGCAGTTACTTGACGCTAGGAAGTAGCCTTGGTCAGAAGGACGAAGCCTCCAGAATTGGTCCCCGTTCGTGTTTTCAAAACGAACTTGATTAAGCCCTATGCGACGCCTGATGAAGGCATGAGTTCATTGAAATTAGAACGAAAAAAAAATACAAACACAGCTTTTGCTCCTTGATATATGCTGCAGTTATAAAGTGCCCCAGAAGTGTTCACAGCAATGATATCGGAGTCATGAGGTGAAAACGCAGCATCCACTATGCTTTTACCTCCTGTATCATCAGATAATATGTCCACCTCCCTTGTGGCCATGAAGTTGGTGCCTTCATCCGGTAATTCAATGCTCAACAGAGATGTTGCTGAGAGTGTTCTGACCAAAACTGGATTGGTACCACGCTTCAGAGATAAATTTGATGCATTTGGAGTTGAGATTTGGAGAATGGGTGTCTCGAACTTCGACAAAGCATGGCCAGGCGCGTGAAAAGTCGATTCGGAATTAGTAGTGGATATAAATGAAATATCTGACATTGAAGCTGAAAATTAATAAGGGCGAGGTCGGGCAGAACAACTTACTCAATTCACAGCTGGTTTCTCCCACCGGAAAGAGAACCAGAGATGTTTGAGGGGTGCTGGAAGACGGTACAATGCTGATGAGATTGCCTCTCAAAGGATCGTAGACTTGTAGCTCTCGGTTTCGTCGTTCGTCAGACTGGAACTCCGCCTTGATGAGCTCCACAGGAAAATCGGCGTCAGGGAAACATGTTCTAACAAAGTTAAGCTATTGAAGGACACAACGTCAAGACAGCGCTAATAACATGAATGAAGATCATACTCCTTCTTCGATTCGCCTCCACTGCGCAAGACGACTTGGCGTCGGATTCACAGGTCGAGTGGCAGGAAAAATGCAACACCCTGCCCCAACCGGTGTCACTCTTCGAGCTGAATGAATTGTCAATCACGATCATGGTGTTTCATGCATAAAGTT